GAATAGACATTCTTAAAAAACACTTTACTAAAAGTGATTCATGAAGAAAGAGAAAATCTGGATAGATTCATAAATAGCAAGTAGATTGAACAAATGAACAAAAGTCTCCTAACAAAGTCAGGCACAGTTTTTACATACCTGGAATTCTAATTACTCAGAAGGCCAAGATCTGGAGGATTATGATTTGAAGCCAGGCGGGGCAGAAAAGCCTGCAAGACCCCATCTCCAAAATAACCAGCAGAAAGCTGGATTAAATGTGTGGCTCAAGTGATGGAGCACCTATAAGAAAGCAGGACAAAGGATAACATGAGGCCTGAATTTAAGCCCTGGTAACATCAAAAGAAAAACATAAAAACCAACCAAAAAAACCCATAGACTTGATGGCTTCAGAGCAAATCCTATCAAACATCTAAAGAACCAACACAAATCCATCTAATTGTCTTTGAAAAATTGAAGATGGAGGAGCACTTCATAACTATTCTATAAGGCAGCATTCCCTATACCAAAGCTGGCCTTTTAGATAAAAAAGAAAAAGAAAATCACAACGAGTATCCTTATGAAGTAAGCAAACTCAGCAAAATACTGGCAATTAACAAAATGATAGCAATTAACTTTTAGCAAACTGAATTCAGCAAAAGAATTGTATACTGTTACTGAATGGAATTTATGCAAGGATAGTTCAGCAGAGGAAAATTCAAGAAAGTCACACACCACATTAGCAGAATGAAAGAGGAAAGTTATTTGTATGACCATTTCAATTGATACAAAGAAAGCATTTGACAAGCTTCATCATCTTTTCATGATAAAAATACTCATCAACAAAAACAAAAAGGATAGGAGGATGCTATGAAGTCCATCTATGAAAACACACAGTTAACATTATAATAATAGTAACGTTCTACAAGCTTCTTATCTAAGTTGACAAGTCAAGGATGCCTGATTTTGCCACTTGTATTTAACATATTTGTTAAAAGTTTTAACCAGAGCAATTAGGCAAAAGAAATAAAATGCATTCCAATTGAAAAGAATGCAATAAAATTTCATCTGTTAGCAGATGACATGATCTATATGTAGAAAATTCTGAAGATTCCACTAAACCGGAACCTTTTAGAACTAGTAGATGAATTCAGGAAAATAGCAGGATACAAAATCAGCATGCAAAAAAATCATTGCATCTATTTACATTAACAATGCCCTTAAAAATTCAGAAATAATTCCATTTATAATAGCTTCAAAAAGAATAACATGCTTAGAAATGAAATTGGTGGAGGAAGTTAAAGATTTAGGCACTGGAAACTAAAATGTTACTGAGAAATCAAAGAACACACAAAGATCTCATTGATAATATCTTAATATTGCCATCTAAATATTGTTAAGATGTTGATCACTACTACCCCAACTTAATACTTTTTGCAGAAATAGGAAAAGCCATCCTAAAATTCATAAATTAGGGACTACCAAATAGCACAAATAATTTCAAAAAAGAACAACATAGTTGGAAGATCTTATAATTCCTGATTTTAAGACTTATTACAAAGCTAATAGTAATTAAAACAGTAGGTACCACCATGAAAGGAAGCATACAGATCAATGGAATAGAATGGATAGCTCAGATATCATCCCTCACAGGTATGGTCAAGGGATTTTCAGTGAGGGTACCAAGATGACATTATCTGGAAAGAATAGTCAGAAGGAAAGACAAAAATATCAATGATGAATCAAGCTATGAAAGAATGGTACCAACCCTTATCTCAAAATGGAAAAAATTGTAAGTATGAGGTAAAGATGAGAGCTGAAATTATAAAATCCTCTTTTAGTTTGGCTGCTGTAACAAAATACTGTAGACTGATTGACATAAAAAAATACTTTTCATGTTCTGTAAGCTGGAAATCAGAGCTCCATTCAGTACTGCAGGTTGTCAGGCTCTCGTGGAGTGAGAACTTGCTAGCTCTCTGGCCACTCCATCCCCAAATCACCTCCCAAAGGCCCACCTCCAGGGAATAAATTATTAATCGTAGTTACTGGTATAGTAATGATGGCAGTTAATTTGTATTTGTCAATACATAAATGGTAGTAGTTGAGGGAAGCATGTAGACACAGTGTATAAGGATGAGAAAAGAGTAGAAATTATGATCACAACTCTGCAGAGTTAGTCTATGCAGCACTGGTCACCAAACACTGGAATAGCATTTGAGAAAACTGTTCTAACCAGTGTACTAGGGAATACTTCTAATGGCAACACTGGGGAAACTGAGGATCCTGAGTTCCGGGCCAGACTGGACAATATAGCCATAACCTGTATTGAAAAAACAAAAGTAAACTAACAAAAACAACCACCACAACAAAAACTGGTCAAGAATTAGAGTGATTGAATTCTGCGTACATTTCTGCTATTTTAGGATTTTTATTTTGCTGCTCCATTATTCCTGCAAAAATAAAAGCTACAAGTTGAGGGAATTATAAGCTTCAGGCCATCTGTGGGCAAATGTGCAATAAGGTCCCAGAGCAGGAGTGGCCTGAATTCCTCTTCCCTCATGATGCCTCCTGCACTTGCTCCAGGGTTTGCTTGCAGGCTTTGTTGACCTCAGTGCACAACACTTATTTTCACTCACGCTAGCAAAATGTATAGCATAGAATGTGGACTGACTTAGTCCAACAGGAACAGATGGGTCCTGGACATTCCATGGGACACACATGTGCCCTGGTCCAGGGCTCAGCTTGGTCATGACAGTACCCTGAGGAGGGCTGCAGGTAGCACATGCCCAGGAGAGTTATCTGTACCTGTTTTGGGAATGCAGGAACTGTCTATGAGACATGGTGAGAATAACTGCTGACAGTGCCACAAGAAATGCAGTACCTTGCCAGTCGCGTGGGTCTATCCTGACAGCTGCAGGGCCATGCGAGCCAGGTGAGAAGAGCCACTATCATGGCTCAGCTCTCAGGCCTGCGCTTGTGTAGATATGGTACCCAAGCAGTACCATCATATAGCAAGATTACATACAAAGGAAAGAATTGGGTTACTTATTTAGCAAGATAAATTTACCCTGGATTACCTTGTATCACCAAGAGGGAGGCCTGGAGCAACCCAAGCACAGTCCACTCCCAACAGGGGACCCAGCCCAGGCCTCCATGTAGTTCACCTCCCCTAGCAGGGCTATTGTGAGTCACCAGGAGCATGCAGGCATGGACTGTTGTCAGTTTTAGGCATACACATAAGGTTGGAGCGAGTCTGATGAACAGGCTAGCCTGGCATCCAGACAGTCATGGGCTGGAAGATCTGACTTGGGAGTGGTAGGCAGAGGCAGGAGAGAACCAGGTGACCAGGACTCATGGGGAGGGAGAAGGCTCAGGAGCCCATGAAGTGCAGCAGCTGGGACTCTGGTCTGGAAGTTCTTTGTGCTGAGGCCATGGGGAGGGTGAGCTGGGCTAGGGAGGACTCTGATATGGCACCAGAAGGCAGATCCAGCTCCCACTGAGGCAAGACCCAGGAGATGTGACACCACGTAGTGATGATACCAGAATTGACCAGACAGAGCAGGGCTGTGGAAAGAATGAGGAGTTCGAGTGTGCAGAAGGTGGATATGTAGCTTACCTAGGCATTTTGACAATGGGGCTAGTCATTGAGCCGGTGGTTGCCATTTTCAGACAATGCAGACTCTTATTTCTGGGTGGCTGGTGCTGTTGAGTCATTAGAGCTAGGGGTTTCTGAAGAAGAGTCTGGGAGGAGTCGTGACAGTGTCTGATGGCAGGTGGGACTTTGTGGAGCTATATTCACATGATTCCTGGCTCTTGTTGACGTCTGAGGGGACGGCTGGTCATTTGGATGGAGTTCCAGAAGGAGGAGCTCTGAGGGGCAGCAGCAGCCACTTGGTTAAATCATATCATTCAACTTTGGTCCTTCACCTGTCACCATGCCTGAGCTGAAATGGTTCATTACATAACTTTATAGTCAGACCCTTAAGCCCACACTTCCTCTGAACACAGCTGGGTCCATTTATATTTTTGCAGCAGATTCCATGATGTCCTGCAAGTATCCTAGAAACGAGTTGCTGTATTGGACAAACACCCTGTTTAGCAGTGAAGTGGTGTGTTTATATTAGAATGTTGGCTACAGAAAAGAACAGGGTGGCCTTGCACCTGATGAGCTGGCTGGTTGGCTGGAGATGTCTATACTTAGGGGCATTTTGGGGCCTCTGGTGGCTCAGTGATCCTCAAAGGTCGAATATATATATTCCTGGAAATCCAAAAATACAAGCTCCTCCCCTCAGAAAGCTTACTGTCTTTGTTACAGTAACAACTCTAGCTAAAATAGCTCAGTAGCCTCTTGCAGACAGCCAATGATTTGGCTTAAAAGGGAGAGCATGTGGAAATGATTTATAAACAAGTTGGTGGTATTAGAAATGACTTAACAGTGCCTGTTGTTTGCTTGTCACCTCTTCAGTCTGGCCAAATTTTTATTATGAAAGATACTAAATAATTAGATGTCAGGTTATTTATTTAAACATTCAGACCAAAAACAACAAGGACATTAGAAGACTTGCAAAGGGCATTCAGGCTTTGCAAAAAGCCCTATAGGTAAGGGCAGGTCTGAAGGCAGGTCTCTGAGTGGTGACGGAGCCTGTACCAGCCTGCCCAAACCTGATGCCACAACTTCATGTGAATGCCTCTGCCTCAGAGCTCAATTGACTCAGGGACTCCCCAAATCAAAGTAGTGACCGAATACAGTTTGCCGATCACCTTGAAGCATAGTCTCATATTTACTGAACAATATCTGACATCAAATCTAGAACCTAGCTTCCCAGTATTCCCTTTGGGTCATTTAAATATGAGGTAGGCAAAGTGACTGGTTCTTTCTTGCTCTTTAGATATTCCAGTCATTGTTAAAAGAAGACTGATCCTTGTTTCAGAAAGTCATGGTTCAAGTTTTTTGGTGCTACTGTTATATGAGATGGATGACTTCTGTTTCTTGTCCCTCCATTCTCTCTCCTCCCCACCTCTAGGAAGGGTGCCTGTGGCCTTCTGACAGCTCGGTGCCGAGGCCTGGGGCCTCAGAGGTAAGGCAGGGTTTGGGAGAGAAGCCACCACCATAGCTAGGTCAGGGATAGACAGTGGGATGAAGGCACTGCCTGTAACTTTGGCTTAGATCTTTTAGGGATTACTGAGCAAGCCTAAAGTTGCCGACCTTTGCTAGTAACTGCTGAATGTGGCACAATTTATATTTATATCAGAGAGCATGGTCTGTTCCTACATCTCTAGCTTTTGCCTTTAACTTAAAAATAGGGTGTGAGAGAAGTGTGTGTGTGTGTGTGTGTGTGAATGCACACGTACATATGGACACACTCACACATGCCTGTGACATCTCTCTCCCGGGAGAAAACTTTGAACAGTGAAATTAAGAGGATTTTTGTTAGAAGTACACCACCTAGCTTCATCCAGGGATGAAAAGTCTAAAGTCATATTTACTTTGGAATACAACACATTTTTCAGATCAATGACTAGAAAGAATGATAGAAAGCGTTTATCTACAATCTAAATGACTGAGTCTAGTGACCAAAAAGAAATACTGCTTTTCTAAAATGCATTCAAACTGCCCCCCCCATCTGCTGATCACAGGTTGCAGGGGGCAGGAAAATGGGACTGTCCTTCCTGTTCAGTCCCCCTTCTCACCCATCAAGCCGCCAGCACGTGGACTGCACTGTGACCTTTGCTGGCTCTCAGATTTTCTGCTAGCACCCATTTGAACCCTTGGAAGATGTAGACATAAACCTGTGCAAGTAATCCCATTAATCCCAAACCTGCACCTGCTTATGATTCTCCACGGTTTGGCGGGACCAGATCCCTTGCGGGAGGTTCACGCAGTTGAGGGGTGGAAGTCATTAGGTACAAAGAAACTGAATTTCTTTTCTGGAAGTCTGCTCAGTAGTGTCTGGGAAAGGGATGGGAGATGGCATGCAGACTGGTAAGAACAAGACCAAGACCAAGCAGGGGCCCTAGTGGGCATGGCTGTGCCCAGAGCCACCTCAGCCTCTCTTCTTTTCCTTTGTAGATCATGTACGCCCCTCGGGCCAGGGACAGGTTCACGGCTCCCCCTTTCATCCAGAGGGATCGGTTCAGCCGCTTCCAGCCCACCTACCCCTACGTGCAGCACGAGATCGACCTGCCCCCCACCATCTCCCTGTCGGACGGGGAGGAGCCGCCTCCTTACCAGGGGCCCTGCACCCTGCAACTCCGGGACCCTGAGCAGCAGATGGAGCTCAACCGGGAGTCCGTGAGGGCCCCGCCCAACCGAACCATATTTGACAGTGACTTGATAGACATTTCTATGTACAACGGAGGCCCGTGCCCGCCGAGCAGCCACTCGGGCATCAGTGCGGCCACCTGCAGCAGCAATGGGAGGATGGAGGGGCCGCCCCCGACCTACAGCGAGGTAATGGGCCACTACCCAGGAGCCGCATTCTTCCACCACCAGCACAGCAACTCGCACAGGGGCAGCAGAGCACAGTTGCAGCAGAACAGTTCAGAGAGCACAATAGTGCCCATCAAGGGCAAAGACAGGAAGCCCGGGAACCTGGTCTGACCCCCTCCAGCGTGCACTTGAATGAGGAGGGAAACCAAGGCAGGAAGAGGCGGTTGCCGGCCCCTCCTGGGCAGTGTTGTCCAGTTTTTCGTGGTACAACTAAAGTAAAACCAAATGTGCAAACATGGTCTTTGTTTCTGAATCCTTTCAGGGGAATTGCATGCAAATGAGACTGAAACAACACAGACTTCCTTCCATGCAGTCTGCCCAGGAGTAGTGTTGGGGGGGGAGGGGAGGGCTTTGTGCAGGAGACACAGGCAGAGAGGGATGCTTTGAAGACATGAAATCTGACCCACAGAGGTATTTGATTTATTTAATTCTGAAGGGAGACTTTGTAGACAAATGAGGCCAGAATGGCCTGTTTTATAATTAACTGAATAAAGAAGGAAGCATTATTATATATTATTGTGGGGAAGAATCAGCCAGTTTGCTTTTCCTCCAGGGTGTGGGACTTTTGTTTTAAAAATATGAATCAGAATTCCTATTTTGTGTGCCAACGTATAAAGTGAAGAAGCCGTTAGATGAATGCGAGGAGCTAATTTGTGTCGTGATGGTATGTTTCCAAGTTGCACTATCTGATGAATGTTTAAATATATATGAGGGAACTGCTTTGTGTGAAGTTCTGTATGTTGTCTTGTCACCTGTAGATGGTTATCAGGCCCAAGAAACACACTAGGATTAGTGTGTCCCCAGAATCATAAAAGGTGTTTGGGGATATAGTCTACTATCAACTTACATAAATTAGAAATGTGATTATTACTGCAAGAATCCCATCATACAGCAGGGCATCACAGGCATTAGAAGGCTTAGATGGAAGTCAGGAAACATAAGTGCTAGCCTTGGACTTACTTGACTTGCTAGTCTTAGGCTGTACAAATATTTTATTAACAAGGAACCCAACACATCCATTTATGTGTCCAGTACCACACAGTGCTGCCCTGATTTCCCCCCCACACACACCCCTGCCAAGCCATGCAATTTCTGTAGTTGATTTTTGTACTGTAGCATGAAATATGCCCAGATACATACCTTATTTTATGTAATAGTTTGAAATGCAAGGTGGTTATTCTTTGAGTTCTGCTGAGCAATGTACTCAGTGTATCCCATTGCTTCTCCTTTTCTTGGCAGCTTTTGTCACCCTATTTAGCTGCTTACCTCTCTAGGTGGGCAAGCAATGCCTGCAATTGCCTGCGCAGTTTCTAATGCTTAGGATGCTCCTAGATTAACAGAAGGGCAGCATGTGTACAGCCATGATAATGCGCCATTGCGTTTCACTTTGTGTCATATAGCATCATGTTTTGAGAGGAACATGGGGTCAGTTAGCAAACAGAGGCTGGGGGAACTGTAACAGCACCAGACAAAGCACATCAACATACATTTAAGATGCAGCTAGAAAATGGACTCAATATTCTAAGTCTTAGTTTATAGTTGTTGATATTTGCAAGCATTCTTACATTGTCTTAAAAAAAAAAAAAGACTCTGGCGCTGGCTGTGTAGCAGCAGCTGTCCACGGCTTAGCAATTCTTGTGCTCAAGAGGCCTTATCTGCTGGAGCCTGGCTGCTTTTGGGAAGTTGGGCCCCCCTGAACTCTGCATATAACAAAAGGAGCTCAAGGGTGATTCAGCAACTCTATCCAGCTTCAATGCCAAGTTAGCTTTTGAGTGTTGCTGTCTGTGTCCTCAGTGGTGGTTTCTGTCAGGTGACAGTGTGCTTATCTGAGAACTAGACTGTTCAGAGCTCCACATCCTGTGTGATCTGTCTGTTCATTTCTGCTCATCTCAGTAGGCAGGGCGTTAGGTTGGTTTTGGTTGAGGACTGGAGTCTTCATTGGATTCATCCAGGTCACACAGTAGTATCCACAGAAGTTGTCAAAGGAGAAAGGATGGGCAGCAGTTGCCAGCTCCTGCTTACAACCCTGCTTGGAAGGGTGTGAACTTGAGGGCCCAGTAAAAATCTGGGGCTGGCTTCAAGTCTTATGCTGTGTCAGAGACCTTTGTCAGAAAAACCAAAGCTCTCAGAGCAGAGGTTGACTTGGGGCTAAACATGATCTTTCTCACTACCCTGGAAGCCTTCTGAACAGTGCTGACTCCTGGTGTGTGTTTGAATGAGGCCAGGCCCAGGACACCAAGGCAAAGGTGAGAAGTACTGATGCCCCTGGTGGGGCTTTCCCGGTAGATGAGTGAGCAAGAATCTTCTCCCACATGCAGGCAAGGAGATCCGTGGATGATTTCACCATTCCAAATCTTGCCTGCAGTTTTGGTACAGCAAGTGACCCACCCCCTTTGATCCAGCTCAAAATGATTTCACAGTCCTTGCTTTTTTACCTGCTATGAGAAAGAATAAGGCCACTAACTTTGCAAGTATATAAACGTTTTGTAGATGCCAATAGTATTGACAAGACAATTATTTAGTTCAAGTAACTTTAATCATCCTTCCAAAGACAAGTTCTCCTCATTCAGGTGCCCTGGAGAATTGCCTTGCCAGTTAATCAGTGACTTAGCAAATTGAAAAGTCTTTGACCCTGGGCCTTTATAAGGAGTTAGTTTAAAAGCCAAAGCCATAAACTGGATTGATAGTCAATTTCTCTTCCTCACAGGGAGGAGGTAGATTTAATCAGTAGACAGTTTCTTATAGCATATGGCTGTCCAGTTCTTGTGCCTCAATGATGTTGAATGGTAGGCACTGTGAAGACACAGCTCACATCGTGGGACTTGTCTCTCAAGAAGCCTGCTCTTAGAACCAGAGGGCCAGTGTAAAAGCGGTGATGGAGGCTGTCACTGCTAGTCTTAGCACCATAGTCATTCCCATACAGCATTGCAACACAGGGTGGCACTCTGGAAGCAGCAGTCTGGGCAGACCACTGTTCGACTTCTGTCTTTTTGTCTAGGGACTCTCAGGATTGTGAGATCTAAGGCATGTGGGTCCCATCTACAGGAGCTCAGTCTTCTGGCTTACATTGTCTTCTCAGAAACTCTAGTCTCCTTTAAGCACTGAAGCAATATGTAATACTCGTATGAAACTACTCATCTCCACCATCAGCCCATCTTTGTTTTTATTAGTTACTGATTAAGCAGCTTGAATTGTGTGACTTGTGTCCTCCCTACTGCAGAGACGCACCAGTCCCGTAGGGCACAGGTAGCAAGAGAATGGTTAAAAACGGACACATGTCAGGGGACCCCACCTCTGGAAAGGGAAGCCAACAGGAACCTGTGAGGCCTTCTTACACGATTCTCTGGCTTCGCCAACTTCTAAGCTCCAAGCGATCTTCACCTTTATTTTAATCTTCCTAAAGAATGACAAAGGTCCAAGGGGAAGCAGGCTTCTCTGATCTAGAAGAATCCATTCAGATCCCTGCCTTTCTCTCAGAACCAGTGGTTCCTCCAGCTCCCAAGTGTTCTCTTTAGGGAAAACTCTGGGATAAATTCTGAAACTGTGCCCTCAGGCTGTGTGCTTGCACTTGGCCGGGCTCTCAGACAGGAGCCTGGAGGGTAGTGTCCCTAGCAGGCTTGGCTGACCCACTGCTGGAGAGCATGACCTACTGTCCTATGCTGGTGCTCAACTCAGTTTTGTTACTAAGAATGGCAATATCCATGCTATCCGTAAACCATTCCAAGGTTCAGGGGAAGGATGCTTGCTATTACAATTTTTTTTTCCCCACACCATCATCCATTAAGAAACTTGCTTGCACACAACCCAAGCCACACTTCTTAGCCGCTTTGTGGCTCACCCAGCTCTAGCACCCCAGCAAGGCCCTTTGAGTCCACAACGGCACCCCTGGCCTTCCACATCCCATATTTTAGGAACACAGGCATTTACTGCCTAGAGCATGGTGGCTCTTGCTAGTTTAGGTTTGTGTTTGTGCCAGGGTTAGAGGGTCACTTGCAGCTGTTGCTGCCTTCCAAGTTGGATGCGTCAGGTTGGTTGCCGGGCATTGGATGCCTTGCTGGGAAGGTGATCTATCTTGTTCTTCCTCTTTGCCCTTAGGTGCATGCTTGATTCTGTGTAATGTGGCCAGGTTAGTGCCAGAGGGGACCCTCCCTGCACTGCACACGCAGACACCCGCGTGGTCCCCAGTGCATTTCTAAGCAGCTAAGGTGCCTGATGCTCTGATTTGGAATTCAGCCCCGTCTCACGCTCGATGCCCACCTTTGTTGTGCCTCACTAAAAAAATGGTGCTTCTTTGTTCGTCTTCTCTCATGTTTTTATTTGTAAGGTGCTGTATATAAGTTGAATATATTATGCACATATCCTACCCAATGGGTAGAACAAAAAATTGTTGATACTGTAATATAATGTATAGATAACAATTTTAACAGAAATGGCATAGAATTTGTGAATGCCTATGTGCTTCATGCTCTTTTGTAAGGAAATTTGCAAATGGATGCATACAGATAAAGTCTACGTAGTTTATTTTCCTACGAAATACCAATATTGTAACATAAGGGAAAGGAGTCTGAGTGAACAAGCAGCAGTTTAAGACCAGCGTACACAGCAATTGAGAATTATATCTTTGCTGTGAAAATACTTTAATTAAAAAAAATCCAACTAGGTGTTTTTAATTTTAATCACTTAAAAAAATACTCCAGTGGACAGGTGGTAGCTATATTTTATTCAGAAAGATCACCTTGCTCAATGGGCAGAAATTACCTCCTGCTGTGTAACCAAGGTGTCAGGTCTCAGTGAGCAGTGCAACTGTTTTTTGCTAGGAAAGCAAACATCATGGAGCTGGCAGACTGGCGAGGGGACTCTGTTCAGCTTCAGGGGCATTTGTGACCATTTGGGTCCCAAGTCTCCCTGTGCCTTTTCCTCTTAACTGAAGCTGTGGAGCCAATGAACTGTAGGAATCTGTAGGGAGACAGAGCCTCAGGGAAAAACAAAAACAAAAACAAACCATATTGGAAGACCCTGCTGGTAGAAAACATGTTTGGCTGTGTTGTTCTTAAGAGAACTGGCTGTTGATCAGCTAATTGAAAGTCTTAAATTTACTCTTGCTGGTACCCAATAGAGTAACCCTGACCCCAAAGCCAACTAGGTTTCCCACCTAGAAAGGATGCGCTTTTCTGGGGAGAAAGGAGGTGTGCTGGGGATTGAACCCAGACCTTGTGCATGCTAAGCAAGTGCTGTCCTTGACAACATCCCCAGCCCAGAGATTGCATTTTAAATCGCATGTTAAGACACACCTTCCAGGTCAGTTTTTTAGCGTCCAGTTA